TCCCAGAAATCCCAGTCAGTTTGCCAGCTGTTGGGATGTCTGGGAGTTGAAGGCCAAAACATCTGGGGACCCACAGGTTGAGAACCACTAGATTCAGGCATACTTACTTACTTTATAGAATCATAGAATCAAAGAGTTGGAAGAGACCTCATGGGCCATGCAGTCCAACCCCCTGCCAAGAAGCAGGAATATTGCATTCAAAGCACCCCTGACAGATGGCCATCCAGCCTCTGTTTAAAAGCTTCCAAAGAAGGAGACTTCACCACACTCTGGGGCAGAGAGTTCCACTGCTGAACAGCTCTCACAGTCAGGAAGCTCTTCCTCGTGTTCAGATGGAATCTCCTCTCTTGTAGTTTGAAGCCATTGTTCCGCGTCCTAGTCTCCAGGGCAGCAGAAAACAAGCTTGCTCCCTCCTCCCTGTGGCTTCCTCTCACATATTTATACATGGCTATCATATCTCCTCTCAGCCTTCTCTTCTCCAGGCTAAACATGCCCAGTTCCTTAAGCTGCTCCTCATAGGGCTTGTTCTCCAGACCCTTGATCATTTGAGTCGCCCTCCTCTGGACACATTCAAGCTTGTCAATATCTACACACTGTACATTTAGCGCAGTTTTGATGCCACTTGAACTGCCATCCAGGGCTTAATGCTATGTATAAGAATAATGAGAGTTTTGTTTTGTCCAGACACTAGCACTCCTTGGCAGGTAAAGGAGAAAGCCCTTGTAAAACGAAAACATCCCATAGCATTTAATAGCCATGGCAATTAAAAGGGTGTCAAAGCATATTGATTTAAAGGTAGAGATGTGAAGAGAGAGTGGGGCAGGAGACAGTCCTATCTTCTCTTCTGTGCTTTACTTATAATACAATATATTGCATATACATATAATATTGATAATATTGCAATGTAATACAATATAATACTAATAATATTGAAACAGGCTAAACATGCCCAGTTCCTTAAGCCGCTCCTCATAGGGCTTGTTCTCCAGACCCTTGATCATTTTAGTCGCCCTCCTCTGGACACATTCCAGCTTGTCAATATCTCTCTTGAATTGTGGTGCCCAATCTAATCTAGCTATCCTAACAATATTAGAAATGGACACAGCAAGGCTGCCAATGAGAGAGAGAGAGAGAGAGAGTGAGGGCCAGGTGAGGGAAACCTCCCTCCAAAAGCAGAAGCTGAGGAGAAATCACGTCACACGGAGAAAGGGATGGAGGAGCCCTTCTGCGCATGCGCGGCGGTGACAGCGGCGCGAGCCTCGCTTCTTGGCTTTGACAGCTCCAGCGTCGCTGGCCTTTTCCGTCGGATTTCGGCGACGCCCTTCGTGGCTGTTGGTGAGGGAGAAGGAGGAGGAGGAGGCCCCTTAGCGACGCCTTCTCCCCCGATGGGCCTTTGCCTGGCCCCGGCGCCATGGCGGCCCTTTACCAGAGCTCGGACCCGTCGGCCTCGGCCTCCCCGAACAAGCTGCTGGCGCTGAAGGATGTCCGGCAAGTGAAGGAGGAGACCACCCTGGACGAGAAGCTCTTCCTCCTCGCCTGCGACAAAGGTAGGTAGGCCCGAGGCCTGGCAGGCCCCGCCTACAGCAACGCACCTGCCCTCCCTCCACATCCCCCTCGTTATCCCCATCCTCATCGCCATGCCTTGGCTTCTGCCTGGCTTTCCCTTTCCTGGAGACCGAGCTCTGGTGGGCTTTTCTTTGGCAGGATGTATTGAACTGCATTGACTCAACCTTGTAGATCAGGCGTGGGCAAACTTCGGCCCTCCATGTGTTTTGGACTTCAACACCCACAATTCTTATTTATAAAATCACAGGTCACCAATTACACAACTAAATATATACAGTCTATATAAATAAAAATGTAATGTTTGTTTGTGGGATTGTTGTTGTTGTTGTTCATTCGTTCAGTCGTCTCTGACTCTTCGTGACCTCATGGACCAGCCCACGCCAGAGCTCCCTGTCGGCCATCACCACCCCCAGCTCCTTCAAGGTCAGTCCAGTCACTTCAAGGATGCCATCCATCCATCTTGCCCTTGGTCGGCCCCTCTTCCTTTTGCCTTCCACGTTCCCCAGCATAATTGCCTTCTCCAGGCTTTGCTGTCTCCTCATGATGTGGCCAAAGTACTTCAACTTTGTCTCTAGTATCCTTCCCTCCAATGAGCAGTCGGGCTTTATTTCCTGGAGGATGGACTGGTTGGATCTTCTCGCAGTCCAAGGCACTCTCAGAACTTTCCTCCAACACCACAGTTCAAAAGCATCGATCTTCCTTCACTCAGCCTTCCCTAAGGTCCAGCTCTCACATCCATAGGTTACTACAGGGAATACCATGGCTTTGACCAATTACACAACTAAATATATACAGTCTATATATATTTGCAAGGAAGTCTGCAAGGAAGACTCCAACAATACATGGAGCGAGAGTTGCCAGATGTTCAAGCTGGGTTTAGAAAAGGCAGA